GGCTTCCCTAGTGGCGCTAGTGGTAAAGAACCCACCTGCAAATCCATGGAATGAGGGGACAGGTAGGCTGTAGTTCATGGAGTCACAATAGAGTCGGACACGACTTAGCTATTAACCAACAAATTGGATTTAAAGATGGAAGACAAGTGTGTGGGGGGAGTGTTTCCTCTCCTCTACGATCTTCCTGGCTGGTCTAGTGATTCAATTGACCTAAGACAAATCAATGGCAGAAAACCAACCCCACTAAACTTTGTGCATATGGGAACCTCAAAGATACAAGACTCAAGAAGGGACAAGGCTGGCGGTATGTGTGTGAAGATTTGACAAAACAAGGGGGTTTTTGCTTGGGGTAACAGGTTCGTGAAGTGACAGGGTTTGCTGGTTTCTTGTAGAGCTTTTTCAGCCTTGCGTTCCCCTCTTTGGATGTAAAGATGTCTCTACCTCCTGGTACAGGGAGGGTATTTGCACATGGAGATTTATTTTCAGCTTTCAGGGGGAACAGAAGAAGGGCAGAGATGCTTTTTGCAACAGCTGTTTCTGAAGTCTCCTTAATTCAGAGCAATCACTGTGCTACAGTGGAGTGTTTTGGGGTGAGCTGCCCTGCACCCCATCAGGAGCACAGATTACCTGGTGCATCCCCATCCTCATACAGGGAGCTGACGCAGGGCCCGGAGCAGGGCTGCCAGCCTGCACGCCCTGCGGCTTCGGGCCCTTTCCTCGGGCTCACCTGCTCTCTATTTCCTAGGTCAGTGTCTATCACGGACGCAGCTTTCTGGTGAAGAGCTGGAGTCTCTCAGCTCTCATCCCTTCCCACCACACACAGAAAGGCCCTGAACGCTCGCGCACCCCCGCCCCTCCCCACAGTGTCCTGTTCTGGACCAGACGCCCTCCGTGGCGGGGCTGTGACCTCCGAGGCCGGGACCNCAGTCGCCCTCCGTGGTGGGGCTGTGACCTCCAAGGTCGGGCCCTGCAGGTGGACGTGGGCACGTCCCAAGGCCATTGTCCCAAGACGGGTGACAGAACCTTGGCCTGATCAGCAGGGGCCTGGGCACGGGGCCCTGGATTCGGGCTTCAGCACAGGCGGAGGTCCCAGAGGAGGAGACCTGGGCGTCAGGGGGGTTGTGTTTGAGGCTTTCATGCTTCTTTGTACGGCCTTTACATGTCTTTTCTCTCAAGGCTTCAGGTTATGCTAAGTGGGGTCTTTCTCTTTACAAAATATTCAACTTGTATCATTGTGTGTTTCGATTTATCATTTTGAGTGATTCTTGTTATAAAATCATACCTATAGGCCCGAAACACACCTATCAATCTAGAAATGGGAGCAAAAGTCAATGGCTCCTTCCCGACCCTCCCAGGCCCAGCACCCTCTCTGTATCACCGCCGATCTCAGCCGTGTTTACATGTTAGAACCCCACAGGGGGGTCTGAGCTCCCCGAGGACACCGAGTTTTGAGCGTGCACCTGTTTGCTCGTTGAAGCAGAGCGTCAGTGCTCACAACAGTTAAAAGCAGATGAGACGCAGTCGAACTGTGGCCTGAATTTACGTAACACTGGTTTTAAACCCATCCTTTCAGACTCACCACCATGGATACGCTGTCAGAAGCAAATGGCACCTTTGCCTTGACCCTTCTGAAAAAGCTGGGTGAGGACAACTCGAAAAATGTACTTATCGCACCCCTAAGTATCTCCTCTGCCCTGGCCATGGTCCTCGTGGGGGCCAGGGGCAACACCGCAGACCAGATGTGCCAGGTACATTCGGGAAGCCAGTTCTGGGTGGCGGCAGACGCTGTTTCTTTGGGTGGTGTGCCAGAGTACACGATCCGAATCCCAGAGGCCTTGCTCGACAGACAGGCCTCGCTCCCCCGTCTGCCCCGTCCCTGGGCCTGCCGTCCAGTGTCTCTCTGGCTGGTGGCCTGGGGCTCCTGACTGCGCAGCACCCAATTCCAGCAGGACAGGCTTGCTCGATGAGCAAGCGTTCATCGAGCCTCTGCTCAGACCCGCTGCCCAAGGCCCTGCTGGCCAAGGCCCATCCTTCCAAGACGCCCAGAGCCAGCCCCGGGCGGGCTGCACAGGGTGTGGACGTCAGCTCCTGGGCCACAGTGGAGGCGGGGCGCTGACCTCTGTCCACATGGGGGTCACAGCCCTCCCTCATGGGGTTGTCCTTACTCCTCCCAGGGCCTGGGGTCCAGAGGGTCTCCAGGTTTACCAGAGTCCTGATCTCCCTCCTTGAGCCTGGGCCTTGAGTTTGACCTCTGCCCTAAGGCCATCACTTTCAGGGTCGTCTGACAGCTGGAGAGGCTGGGAGTGAGAAGCATTTGCACTCTGCACCCAGCAAGTGTCAGGACGCAAACACGGGGTGCTCACGCTCAGTCGTGTCCGGCGCTTTGTGACCCGTGGACTCTAGCCCTCCAGGCGCCTCTGTCCATGGGATTCTCCACAGAGAACACTGGTGAGGGTTGGCATGTCCTCCTCCAGGGGATCTTCCAGGCCCAGGGATTGAACCCGTGAGTCTTGAGTCTCCTGCACCAGCAGGTGGATCCTTTACCCTGCGCCACCAGGAGACGCACGTGTTCCCTTTAAGTTCTGCCTGAAAGGGAGCAGTCCCCTCTGGTGCTCGTCACTGACTCCCCTCCCACTCTCCCAAGCTCTGAAGGGGCTGCCATCTCTCTGGGCACCTCCTGTGCAGGTTCCGATTCCGGGGGGAGGGCCAGACTTCCCGCCCTGGACGGGCGTCTCTCTAGGGCTTTCGCCCGAGCTCCTCTCCTCAAGCAGTGGTGAGCCCCAGACCTCCGGCCACGGCCGGGAGCTGGGTGCAAAGCACGTGCCCAGGCTTTAGCTTTGTGTCACAGCGGAACCGGGTCTGGGTGGCTGTCTGGACCTTCTCTCTGTGGCTCCCGTCAAACCACCCATGACCAGGAATGACCGGGATGGGGCCTTAGACTCTGCGTCCTGGCCGCACGGTGCCCGCTGAGCTCCTCGTAATTCAGGAGCGGCCCCGATCCCACAAGGAGCTCTCCTCTGTGTGACCGCTCTCCCGCATTGTCACGAGGCCCCAGCAGGACGGCTGGGCATTTCTGCACCCTGGCAACAGGGGGCAAGACAGGGAACGTGGAGTTGCAATGCCTTTACGAAGGCCTGGGCCCGGAAGAGCCACTTCTACTGTGTCACAACTTGTATCATTGTGTGTTTCGATTTATCATTTTGAGTGATTCTTGTTATAAAATCGTACCTATAGGCCCGAAACACACCTAACAATCTAGAAATGGGAGCAAAAGCCAATGGCTCCTTCCCGACCCTCCCAGTCCCGCTGGTCAGAGCCCGTCCCGACACCAGTCCAGACCCGATGCCGTGGCCTGTTTGTACAGAGATGGGAGGCCTGTCCGCCGGCCCTGTCTGCAGGCAGACCGCGAGCGCAGGGCACTGGGCTCGCCGAGGGGCACTTCTGCGCCCGCCATCGCTGTCTGCCCCCACAGGAGGCAGGCTGGGGGCTCCAAGAGGCCTTGTGCCTTTTTTTGGGTGAGTCTTGCTTTAAGCTGCGGTGAGGATCAGTGCGGTTCCTAGGCTGTCTCAGTGTTCTATCCATTTCCTGTACTTAGGGCTTACTGCAGTTGTGAGCTTTTATCTGTTTTTGGCTTCAGACACTCTCTCTAAGCAAGAGCAGTTGTGTAGGTGTAGACATACACCAGAGTTTCCAGAAGCTTCTCACCGAAGTTAACAGGACCAGCACACAGTACTTGCTCAGAACCGCCAACAGACTCTTTGGAGAGAAGACTTAGAATTCCCTCTCGGTAAGTCATACTCCCGTTTTCCCGAAGCAGATAGAGACCGAGGTCGGGTGGAGGCAGGAGCTGGGTCTTGTGGTGCAGTTGAGGCCTTATGGGCTGTGACCCACACGGTGGGCAGGGTGTGGGACTCCAGTCATGACCTCACGCTTCCTGGATCCGTTCGGTCATTGCCTGTAAGAGGAGGCATTGTTCACATGTGACAGCATTGTTCACATGTTCGTGAAGCTTCCTTGAGATGATTGTCAGAGAACTAACACGGATCATACCACAGTTGAAGATGAGTTAGCCCCAACAAAGAAGTGATCAAATAGAATGTTTCTGATGTTGTTTTTCACATGTTGGAAGTTTTTTGTGCATTGTGAGACTTGCTTAATTTTTTTTGAAGCAGATAGAGACCGAGGTCGGGTGGAGGCGGGAGCTGGGTCTTGTGGCGCAGCTGAGGCCCTATGGGCTGAGACCTACATGTTGGGCGGGGTGTGGGACTCCAGTCATGACCTCACGCTTCCTGGTAATTGTCGGTAAGAGGAGGCATTCTTCACTTGTGACAGCATTGTTCACCTGTTTGTGAAGCTTTGATGAGATGATTGTCAGAGAACTAACACGGATCATACCACAGTTGCAGATGAGTTAGCCCAAACACAGAAGGGATCAAATAGAATATTTCTGATGTTGTTTTTCACATGTTAGAAGTTTTCTGTGCATTGTGAGCCTTGTTCAATATTTTTATACATGTAAATATTTTGATTATCTTTTCCTATGCAGAATTTTTTTAAAGCTTTTGTCTTTTTTACTCAGATTCTATTTAATTGCAGTGCCTTCATGATTTTTAAAAATTTTTAATAAACAGCTCACTAATCTGTGAGTGTGTTCTTAATCATGTAAAAATGCAGAGAAAGCCAGAGTCCTACCAAACTCTCTTCCATGTCCTGGTCCCCATGCTCAGTATAAGGGCTTGTCCCCTGTGCATAGAGAAAGTCTCTGCATCTCACAACATGTGTGTCTGTTGTTGTTCAGGTGCTGGGTCGTGTCCAACACTTTGGGACCCCATGATCTATAGCCCACCGGGCTCCTCATCATGGGATTGTCCAGGCAACAATACTAGAGCGGGTTGTCATTTCCTTCTCCAGCGGATCTTCCCCAGGCAGAGATCAAGCCGACAGCTCCAACATTGGCAGGCAGATTCTTTACCACTGTGCCACCTGGGAAGTCTGTGATTTTACTGTCATTTATTCAGTGTAGCTAAAAATTGAGAAACTGGATTGAAGGTTAATTTCTCACATTCATTTGTACATTCCACAAGGAACCTTAAAATGATCAGTGTTGAGGTTTGGCGCCATGAAGAAGTAAGCTGTTGGCGTGGTCTGTTTCTGTAGCCATGTGATTCTGTCACTCCTTCTCTCCTAGCCTTTCAAAGATGCCTGCCGCATATTCTACCAAGCAGAGATGGAAGACCTGGACTTTGTCAGTGCTACGGAGGAGTCCAGGACGCACATAAACACCTGGGTAGCCGAAAAGACAGAAGGTGAGGACATGTCAGTACTTCTGTTTGCGTAGTATTTGAATCAGTCTGATTACCCATCAGCTCCTTGCCAAGACCAGCAAACGTAAACAGGAATGGGTTTTTCTATGAATAACTGTAACTTTCAAAATGCACTCCTGAAATATAATCAGGAATCAATTTCTCTAGCTTTCCCCCCTCCTCATCAGTATTTGGTGCACCTCTTCCAGAGCAAACACACTTTGATTTTTTGCTGGTGCACTTAATGTTCATATAGTCTGCCTTTTCACAAAGGGCGGAAGGGAAACTGGATGCGGGCTCCACCACCTGCCTGTCCAGCGGAGCTCATGCTCTGCGGGTCGCTGAGCATCACTGCAGGTCACTCGGTCAAGCCCCGGTCCACCTGCGGTTCTTCGTTCTCGTGCTCTCCACGCTGGCTTCAACCTCTCCCCTTCAGGACAGTCCCCTCACGTTGTAGCCCGAACATTCCTTTTTCTGTCACTGTAAATTATCCTGCTCTTAGGATTTCTTCATTGTATGTGTTTTATGCAACTCATGGTATCTTTGTGAGCAGAGATTTTAAGGTTTTGGTCGCTGATTTTGCTTTAGGGGCCAGGCTGCCTGTACGGGGTCAGAAAGATGCCCTGGAGGAGGAAATGGCAACCTGGGCCAGTATACTTGCCTGGGGAATCCGATGGACGCAGGAGCCTGGTGGGCTGCAGCCCATGGGGTCACAGAGAGTCGGACACAGCTTAGCGAGTGAGCAGACAGCTCACTGTCCATGCTTGTCTGGGGGACAGTGAGCCCTCTGGTCAGTGCCTGACTCCTCCAGGGGACGGGCCAGTAAATACTGTGCCCAGCACCTCCCCCAGGGAACCCTGCTCGCTCACTGGCTCTTTATTCTGCTTTGCAGGTAAAATTAGAGACTTGCTCGCTGCGAATTCAGTTGACGCCATGACTCGTCTGGTTCTCGTGAATGCCGTCTACTTCAAAGGAATTTGGGATGAACAGTTTAACCAAGGGCGCACCATGCAAAAGCCATTTAAAGTCAGCAAGGTGAACAAGAATGTTTCATAAAGCAAAGGAGGTTCCTGGAAATGGTCCCTGGGGTCCCCTTGCTTTACAGAGCGTGTGAGCAGACTGACCTCAAGGACCCGTGCCTCTCGTGGCCGTGGCGGCCCAGAGGTGGATCCGGGCAAACCCTGGCTTCCTCCCCCCGCTCCTGCTCTGCTGTATCATCGGGGGTGGGGGGTCCGTGCCGCGGGTGTTCCGTCTTGTATCACACATCCCCCGGAGCAGCTCGCAGGTCTCTGGGGCTCCTAGAACTCCCGAGATCCAGGCCAAACTCTAGACCGTGGCTATGAAGCTCCGTGGGCTGGATCCTACCGTCCGCCCCATCCTGTCAGCAGTTATCAGCACAGATGCCTTTCTCTGCAGGGCCGTCCCGAAGCCTCCCTGGCGGTCTCCCCAGCCCGGGTTCCTGGCGCCTGTGTCCCTCCTCTGAGCTCTCGCAGAGCCCGGGGCCTCTCACAGGGGCTCTGATCTCCCAGAGCCCCTCGGGCCCAGGTGCAGGACCAGGGAGGTTACTTGGAAGTTTTCCTGATGACCCAGGCTGGGCTGAGCGTGGTGCGGTAGGAAGCACAAGTCAGATGGCTGGGCTGAGCATGGTAGTGGTGGGAAGCACAAGTCAGACTGTATTGTATGTTTCATTAATTGCATGTGTTTATTCTCGGCCGTGCCGGGCCCCCTGGCCGCAGCCTCTCCTGCAGCTGCCGTGGCGGAGGCCCTCTGGGCTCCGTGCTGGGCTCCTCCTGCTGGCGCTTCTCTTGGGGCCGAGCTCGGGCTCCAGGCCCGTGACCTCAGGAGCTGCGGCCCCGGGCTCTCAGCCTAGCCTCAGTAGCTGTGGCCTGAGGGCTTAGAAGCCCCTGGGCTGCGGGGTCTTCCCAGACCAGGGATGGAGCCTGTGTCTCCTGCATTGGAAGGCGGATTATTTACCCCTGAGCCATAGAGAAGCCCTGTTGTCTTTAAAATAGAGCCAACATGGTTTGTTCATGGGTGAGCTGTGGGGTGGGAGGGACAGGGGCCCAGGACACTCCAGGGCTTGACTGCGGGATGAGTGGTGTCGCCATGAGCAGAGATGGGAAAGTATAGATGGAACAGGCGTGGGGGGAACACGAGCCGCCAGTGTGGGAGCCGACATGAAGGCTCCTTTGCGTCCAGATGCAGATGTCAGGTAGGCAGGAGCCGGGGAGAGGTCCTGCTGGGAATGTCTGTGCAGAGCCCTCCTGGGTCAGCAGGAGGACAGAAGCCTGAGGCCTGAGCACTGGGAACCCGGGGTGGGAGCTGGAGCCGTGCAGATAGCTGACGACACGGAGCTGGGCTGGGCCTAGAAGACAAGACAGAGTGTGTGCGCAGGTGGCCGGCTCTGATGATTCGTCCAGAGTGTCCACGCGTCTCGTTTCCACTTAAGGTTTATCCATTTCCTTCATAGGACGTGGAGAAAACTTTGCAAATGATGTTTATGAAGTCCACCTTTAAAATGACCTACATTGAAGAGATAAGCACCCAGATTCTGGTGCTTCCCTATGTCGGCCAAGAGATGAACATGGTCATCCTGCTGCCCAGTGAAAGCACTGACTTGAACACGGTAACTGGGCATCCTTGGCCCTGGGGCCCGGGGTCTGGTTCGGATCCCTCCCGTCACTGGGCCTGGGAACTCGTATGAAGCCGACAGGCCGCCCGGGGCCCGCAGTGCACAGAGTGTGGGTCACAGTGGACAGTGCCCGGGACAGCGCTGCTGCCGACCCTGAGATCTTCTACCTCCTCCTCCAGGTGGAGAAGGCCCTGACCTACGAGAAATTTGTCGCATGGACGAAGCTGGACATGCTGGCTGAGACGGAGATGCTGCTGTTCCTGCCCCGGTTAACTCTGGAGGACAGTTACGACATGGAGGGCATCCTCCAGAAACTGGGCATGACTGACGCCTTCAACGGGGCCTGCGCCGACTTCTCAGGGATGTCATCCAGCCAAGGCTTGCACCTGTCCAAGGTTGTGCACAAGTGCTTCCTGGAGATCAACGAGGAGGGCACGGAGGCCACGGCCGCCACAGAGGCCAGGTTTACACCGGACAGCCTGAGCGTCGGACAGCAGTTCTTAGCTGATCGCCCCTTCCTCTTCTTCATCCAGCACGGCAAGACTGGGGCCATCCTGTTCTGCGGCCGCTTCTGCTCGCCGTGACGGGGTGCTGGAGGCGCCCCGGTGCTCCTCACCGCTCTCCCCGAATCTGGAAGAGCTGAACCCCAGTGACCTTGGCGAAGGTCCACAAATAAAGGCTGATGGAGACCGCCTGTGTGTGTGTGTGTGTGTGCCCGTGTGGCCTCGTGTCCCGCGCCTTCTCGGAGCTGCAGCTGCCATCGGAGGCGGGCGCTCGGTGGTCACGCTGGCAGGGAGCACTGGCTGCCTGCTCTCTGGGTCTGCCCTCCGCCCGCCCCGTCCAGGCCCTCGGGGAGAGCGCTGTCTGCTCCAGGCCTGGAAGGATGAGCGGACCTTCCCTGTCTCCTCTGCACAGTGGCCCTGCTCCTGAGAACGGAGCAAAGCAGAGGCTACAGCAGCCACAGGGGGGGGGAGCAGGCCTCAGAGACCCCCGAACCTGAGCCCTCCAGAAACCAGCAGAAGAGGGGAGGGCCGTGACCCAGACCGGGACAAGTCTGTCCCCGAGCCACTGTGTCTGCATTGGAGGGTCTGTGGTCAGAGGCCTGTTCAAGTGCTTGACCGTCCACACTCCCTGAGCATGTTCAGTTGCCCCCAGGGGTCAGCGATGAGCAGACAGTTCCTGTTCAGGAGAAGGAGGCATTGAGACCACGTCATGGATGGACGTCAGATGACTTTCCATCCTGCCGCTGGTATTGGAGAAAAAGAGGCGGCTAAGGTTTCAACCAGTGCATCCCAAAGGAAATCAGTCCTGAGTGTTCATTGGAAGGACTGATGCTGAAGCTGAAGCTCCAGTGCTTTGTACACCTGATGCGAAGNACCCAGACCGGGAGAAGTCTGTCCCCGAGCCACTGTGTCTGCATTGGAGGGTCTGTGGTCAGAGGCCTGTTCAAGTGCTTGACCGTCCACACTCCCTGAGCATGTTCAGTTGCCCCCAGGGGTCAGCGATGAACAGTCAGCTCCTGTTCAGGAGAAGGAGGCATTCAGACCACGTCATGGATGTATGCCGGGTGACCCTTCTATCCTGCCGCTGGTACTGGAGAAAAAGAGGCGGCTAAGGTTTCAACCAGTGCATCCCAAAGGAAATCAGTCCTGAGTGTTCATTGGAAGGACTGATGCTGAAGCTGAAGCTCCAGTGCTTTGTACACCTGATGCGAAGTGCTGATTCATTTCGAAAAACCTCGATGCTGGGACGGATTGAAGACAGGAGCAGAAGGGGCTGACAGAGAATAAGATGATTGGATGCCATCACTGAATCAATGGACATGAGTCTGAGTAACTCCGGGAGTTGGTGATGGTCAGGGAGGCCTGGCGTGCTGCAGTCCGTGGGGTTGCAATAGTCGGACACGACTGAGCGACTGAACTGCACGGAGGTTTCTGCAGCCGCTCGTGCTCCCTGCTGAGACGTGGGGCAGCACCCGGCCGATGCTGAGGTTCAGGAGGAGAGCGGTGAGGTGTCCACTGGCCTCCCGTGGCGTCATCCGGAGCTGGGTTCCCTCTAACCTAACGGCGTGACCCAAATTCTCAGTCTCTCTCTGTTCCACTGTCTCTGCCGTGCCCACGTCAGTGCCTGAGCCTCGTGGAGAGACAGGCTGCGGAGACGCTGTCCTTGGGAGCAGCAGGCTGGCGGCCCAGCGGCGTCAGCCCGTCCCCCCAACCCCGAGCCTGTGCCCAAGGCTCCATCCTGCCACTGTCTGCTCTTCAATCCCCCACAGGACATATCCCCCGGCCCCTGACCACCACCTCCTGGGACCTCCCAGGTCATTCTCAGAGGAACTGTTCTCTGACATCACCGAGAATACCCAGATCTAAAATGCCATTTCCCCCTGCCTCTGGCTGAAGAGCGTTAACATTTGTACATAATCGCATCCACGAGGAAACCTCACCATCCCTTTAGAAATCTCTCCAGACACTGTGGTTCATGGTACCCACACAAAATCAATTCAAGGAGAATGAGGCTGTTCTAAGGCCGGTCACCTAGTGGGAACCATACAGAACACGGAAGCTCCACCATAAAGTATGTCCGGAGTGAAGTGTCTATCATGACTTTCTTGGGGAATGTGTGTGTGGCTGCCACCCTCTACATATTTTCTCATAGCATCTAGGAAGGACCTCTGATCACTTCTGGTCTCCTTATCACCTGTGAGGCACCTCAGCTCGGAGGTCGTGTCTTCACCCAAGTGCCCAGCACCCAGCCCAGGGCCATGCTCATGGGAGACGCCGAGACGTCCCTGCTGTTTGAGTTGACAGTCTTCATTATGCAAGGATGCAGCACTCATGGAGGAAACACGTTTTAGAGGGAGAAAGGTCTTCAGAGTTATGGAAGAAACAAGGTTAGACAGATAAAGGTCTTCAAAATTCAGGAAGAAAACAGTTTAGAAGGAGTAGGGTCTTCAAAGTTACAGAAGAAAGAAGTTGAGAGGGAGAAAGGCCTTCAGAGTTCTGAACCCCTGCAGAACAGGGCCATGTTCAGCGTTGCTCTTTGAAGGCTGCTGAGTAAAGGCATCTGAGAGCCCGCAGGCAGAGCTGCAGGCACGGCCGTTTGCTAACAATACCCAGACGTGACTCACTGGGCTGAGAGTCAGGAGGCCAAGAGGGACAGACCTTGCTGGTGCTGGGAGATGGTGTTCGGACAGGTTACCCAGACCTGTTGGGGTGCACTTGCCAGAAACCAACTCTGTTTGCTCTCTAGAGCTGAAAGTCAGATCATGAAATAAAGACTTTGAAAAACACAGAAACCTCCTTTCTGGACAGAGTTTGAAAATTTCAGAAAATGCTTCCTTCTAGGGCTCTTGTTTTCCTGTTTTGGGCAGGATCCTTCAGATTCAACCAGATATGGAATTATTTTTCACATACAATGCTACTTAAAATAATTAGATAGGGAAAATTCAGATGGAAAAGANCCAACTCTGTTTGCCCTCTAGAGCTGAAATTCAGATCATGAAATAAAGACATCGAAAAACACGGAAACCTCTTCCGTTCTGGACTTTGTTGGAAAACTTCTGACATAGCTCCCAGAACATCTCTTATAAGATAAGTGTATTGCATTGACACTATGGTTATCCACATTGCATTCCTGGGTCAGGAAGATCAATGCCTTGTTTTTCTTTTTTTGGCAGGACCCTTCAGATTTAACCAGATAGGGAAAGATTTGTCAGATACAATGCTACTTTCCTAAAAGTAATCACATATGGAAAATTAAGTTGGAAAGATAACATTTCAAAATCTTTTGAGTTTTAATTATTGTCAGAAGGATTTCAGGTCCCCTTTCTAACTCTGGGGCTTGTCTGGGGGCTCAGACGGTTAAAAATTGGCCTGTGATGGCAGATACCCAGGTTCCATCCCGAGGTCAGGAAGATCCCCTGGAGAAGGGAAAGGCTACCCACTCCAGCATTCTGGCCCGCAGGATTCTATACATGAACCATACAGTCCACAGGGTCGCAGAGCCGGACACGACCGAGTGACTCTCGCGCTCACCCTGCCGTGGCCCCAGCTTCTGTCCTCAGCTCTGACTCTCTGACACACAGACGCGGCTGGGCCGTTGAATCCTGCATGCGGCTCCCAGCACCTACGTCCCATATCCTGCTCTGTTCCTACTTGTCTCCTGGACACCTTCACCTAATGCTCCTCAGACAACATGAGTCCTCTTGGACAGGAGACGCGGGCTTGATCCCTGGGTCAGGAAGTTCCGCTGGTGCAGGAAATGAACGTCCTGTGAGTGGATGTTCAGTCCATGGTGGGCTACAGTCCATGGTGTCTCAAGGAGGCCGACACGACTGACGACTAAGCACAGCGATTCTCCACTAGACCCCTGACGCTCCCCTTCCACGTAGGCTCCTCTCAGTTAATATGTCACAATGAGACTGAGGTAGACGAGTAAGTGGCACCTGCATCTCCAGTCCTTCCCTGGCCCCTTGCTCCCAGTCCACCTGGTCCTCACATCCTGTGATGCCCGCCGTCTCATCAGTTCTGGGCAGCACCCCGTCACTGTGGCACTGCCCAGGCTCAGGCCCGCCAGGCAGTGCCCTGGTCCCCAGAGCTGCGTCCTCAGGGCCCTGGGGCCTGTCCCCCTGCACCCAGTCCCTCCACAGGGCCGGCGCTGGAGTCAGAACACGGGAGGGAGGGAGGGGGGGAAACGGATGAAAGCAGGAATCATGTCACTCGTCCAGTCTGAATCTCACAATGGTTCCCCATGCTGTGGTTCAGCGCTCAGTCGTGCCCGAATATTTGCGACCCCGTGGACTGCAGCCTGCCAGGATTCCCTGTCCATTATCAACTCCCAGAGTTTGTCCAAACTCATGTCCGCTGAGTCAGTGATGCCATCCAACCAACTCATCCTCTGGCGTCCCCTTCTCCTCATGCCTTCAATCTTTCCCAGCATCAGGGTCTTTTCAAATGAGTCAGTTCTTCCCATCAGGTGGCCAAAGAATTGAGTTTCAGCTTCAGCATCANATATTCAGGATTTATTCCTTTAGGATGGTCTGCTTTGATTGCCTTGCACTTCAAGGGACTCTCAAGAGTCTTTCCCAACACCACAGCCCCATGACTGACAGATATAACGGCCCCCAGCGTCTCTCCAGCCCAGCCCTGCCCAGTCCTTCCAGCCCTGCCTGCCGCACCTTGGCCGCTGCGGCCCACACCCTCTGCCGGGTCCTGAGTGTACCTCGCGGAGGGAGCCCTTTCCCAGCACTGACCCCGCCTGGTTGGTTCCTGCTCCAGCCTCCCCCTGGACCTCACCCCTCCCTCGGGCCCGGCTCCCCTGTCACCCTGGGGCCAGCCCAAGCCCCACAGCATCACCAGCTCCGTCCTTCTGGCCCCATCGGGCCGGTGATGTGCCCATCAGAGCCGCCGCCCGCTGCACCGACACAACCCCTTCCCAGTCCCTCTGAACAGACAGAAGAGGAAGGGCGTGTCTGATCAGTTTCGTCTCTCGCCCCTTTTGTGACCTGATGGAGTCCTGGTACAATCAGCGTCCAGCACATGGTGCGTGGGGGGTCCCAGCTCCGCTACCGAGTGGGCCTGTGGGGGACGGAGATGCTGAGACGCAGTTGCTCCACGTGCAGGGCTAACTGTGGCCCCGCCCTCCGGCCCGGCCCGGCCCTCCCTCTCGGCCCCGCCCTGCGGGCGGCCGCCCCGC